CATGCCTCTGAAAACATATCTGAGAAACATACTTACCTTTAAAAGATGTGATACTGGAGAGCGAAGTTTCATCTGAATGCATCCAAATGAGATACAGTAGAACAGTAATATTTCAGATTCCCTGTGAAAAAAAGGGCTGAACAATAGAGAACAAGGCCTAGGATAGGGACAGCATTATCTTTAAGTGACTTTCTTGTCAAATTATTGAGGATCGAAGTGAAGAAATATTCTTCTCATGGGGGATCTGAATATGAAACCATTATTTTGTCGTCATGCTATTATGACCTAGGTTTAATGATTCTTCAGAGGAACTCCTTCAGCTGCAAATACATTCATAAAAATGGTCTGCTTATCCTACTTCGCTGAGCTTTCAAAAATATAAAATTTGAAAGAGCTTACATTTATTTATTTTTCATAAAAATAAGTGGAAATAGGTTAGTGTTGCTTAAGATGGGCGCTGGAATTCACATCAGTGAATAAGAAGACATTGATGTTCCTAAATGTAACTGAACGTCATGTAAGTGAACGTGTATTTTGATGACAGCGATACGCTCACAGAAAACAGGATGGAATTTTGAGTTCCATGTAGAGATCTGCATTAGTGAGAAGCATGTACAAATTATCACCAAATGTGGAGGCCCTGCCCATCATTTTGGACAGAGCTTCATGAATTGTCAGGTCAGAAGAAACCACTTAGTTTGAGAATAGCCTCACTCAGATAGGCTGGCTGAAACTTCAATGTGTATGTTAATGTGAATTGCCCAGCGCTCCCTTTGGAGTTAGTGGAAAAAAACAGGTGCCTCCAGTAAACGATTTGTCCGACCTGTTGTGAAGATTAAATGCATCACCCTCTGCAGGTGCCTGTTTTCACGATAAAGGAAGACTGAGGTACTGAGTTTAGTTTTAAATGATGTATTTTTACATCCCTAACTTTGGGCAAATGAATCTCACTACTAAAATGACTTTTGGATGTGAACTGCTGGACTTCTCTGCATTATTTTTCTAAGCTAAAGCATTTTAGGAAAAAAAAGTTAATTTTTTTTTAATAATTAGTCATGACAAATCTACCACTTTTTTTAGTAATTGATCCAATTCTTAATTATGTTTATTGTGTTTTTAAAAGTCTTTATTTACAGTTTGAATTTGTCTAACTTCAACTTTTAACTAGCAGAGCTTGTTAAACCCTGGCCTGTTCCGGTGAGCTGTTGCATGAGCTTTTTCCCCAAGCAGTGCAAGCAGAATCAGATGACTAGTCTGAACTAATCAGTTAGTTTCTCCTCAGTAGCCAGCAGAGACTGATAGTGATTTATCCAACCTGTCTGGGACATCTATTTTGTGCTGGCGTAAGAGCATCCTGCAGTAATAATACCTTCTCTTTCCACGGATTACACAGGGGCATCTGGAATAGGTAACTTATGCTAAATCTTAAATACCCAAAATCAGGTGAAATAAATTCCCCTCTGAGATGGGTTTACATCATCTTTGACCTTCACTTTGCTATATTAAACAGACAAATTTGCTAGAAACCCTCTGTATAGGAATTTACTTTTTTTTTCTCTCCCTCCCCTTCCCCCTTAGTCTGCTACGTTATTCTTTGAACTCTCTTGAGTTTCTTAACGCTCCTTTTGAAGAGCGGACACCAGAACTGGACGCTATTTCGGAAAGTAACATATCGTCCTACTCCTACTTGAGATTCCCAATTTGAATTGCAAGAATTACATTAGTGTGCTGCTCTGGGATATTGGAGTGAGTTAATTATCTGCCACGACCTCCAAATCCCTTCCCAATAACTTCATCACAGAACCTCGTTCTCCATTCTTCGTAGAGAAAAATCTTCTGAGAGACTAAGTTAAGCTGATTTTATTTTTAAGTTGCAGATCTCAAGACGCATAAGGCAGACATTTTTCAGAAGGGTAATAATTCATCTGTAAAATTTGACCTTAGCTGAAATCAGAGACATGTGGCTCAGAGAATAGGTGGTGTTTTATATATAAGAGATATAATCTCTTCTCATCTCTCACACATTTTTTTTCAGATTTTCAAGTAAAATAATTCTGATTTTTGCCCCGAGTCACAGTATAGCCACAGAAAATAGTCATAAATGAACTATTTGAATATCTCGTAGAATCTCTGCTGCAGAGGAATCTGACAGAATAAGCCTCGCATTCACACATTCCTTATATTTGCAATGACAGCTCTTTAAAAAGAGGAATATATTTTCTATGTGTGCAGACACCTATTTCGCTGGAATCTGATCTCACCTGAACTAGCCTAAATCTAGAGTAAGAGCACTGATTTTGCAGCTGTTACTCTAGGTTTACACTGAGACCAGAATCTATCCTGAAATCTCAGAACTGCTGTATTGCCCTTAGCAGAGCATATTGTTTACTGGAAGTTTGTTTGCAGATGAAGAGAGAGAGAGAAAAAATAATACAAAGGGAACCCAGCAAAGTTTTTCCATTTCAAGGATGTCCACAGAAATTCTGGAAAGTGTACAATAGTTTTAAAGAAAGGATAGAGAGCCTGATTTGGCATGCTTTATTCCATCTTACTGAAGGCGTACGGGGGTTGCTGGGGGATGCCTGCGTACCTGCTCACAGGCAGATGCAAGCTTGCTGTTCTTCAGCTCCTGGCCAGAACCCAAATGTCCATTAGTGTTGCTTGTGCTAGAAATATTAAGCCCTGCCAAGTATTTTTATTATCTGGAACTGGGCATGAGAATGAGCAGTCTATGGTGACAGAGGATGGGGTTTCAATATTTTAGCCAGAATTTTTTTGAAAAAGGCCTTAAATACTCTGTTGCCTGGGTGTGTGTGCAGGAAATCCCAAAACAACAAAAAAAAGCTTAAAGGTGTGTGGCTAACGTCAGCCCTTAAAACCAAACCATGTAATACCTGAAGCTATATATATATGAACTCTTATTTTCCATATCAGTGGTCCTGTAGGTCATTTATTTTTATGTCCCATTTCTGTTATATTCACTAAAGCCTTCTAACTATAAACAAAACATAAATGTTTGTTACTATAAACAAAAATGTTCATGCCATTTAATGCATTATTTTAAACACCTCCTATATACAAAATAAATGTCTCAAAATGTTTCACTTGGCTTACTTATTCTTCCTTCTCTTGCTTCCAATATGTGGCTCTTTTATGTAGGTTTTCCTCTTGTCATGGAACCAGATCAGTTAGAGATGGCATCGTTATTAAGCTATTCATTTTTAATCCATATCCCCCACAGTTTCAGACTTACTCCTCTGAGAATGTATTTTACTTTAGCAAGCTAGATTTGGACTGTAGTTACAGGTGGTTAGCTTTAATAAAAGTGGCTGAAGTATTTTCTAGTGAGTAATTTGCTTTTGGAAATGCTCCAGAGAACAAGCCTTTCCCAGGAATGTATCAAAAGGTGACTGAAATCATAAAAGGGGGAAAAATAAAATTGTCATGATAGTGTCACAATGTTTTCTGTTGCTCATACAAAAATACGGAATTGTTATTGTTTTTCATTTCAATTCGCAATATATTCAAAGCTTGGGTGTAACATTAATGTAACATGAAATCCATTTTTCCTATTATGTAGTATTATATAGTTTCAAAAATACTTTGAAATTATGACTATAAAATCTTAAATCAAAATAAATGCTAATAACTGTTTAAATTCATGCTAAGTGCATGCAGACAAGACAATGATTCCTTTGGTACACTGGTGTAATGAATGAATTGGCGCGGCAAAATAAAGCACCAGCTCAAGCAAAGCTCTGGCTGTCAAAGAGGGCAGTTTCTCTGGGATTTCCTGTGGCACAGAGACAGTACCCAAACAACAACCGTTCTGCGTGCCTTTTCTGACCTTACAGACTTTTTTTTTTTAATACAATTCCTCCTCTTCTATCATGGTAGCCTTTTCCTAGACTACTTCTTTTGTTCCTGCCATTTCTTATCCCATTCCTGTTCTATATGTTGCCTCCTTCCCCCTGCCTGTTTCTCTCTCCTTCCCTCTTGCCTGGTTGGGTCGGTGTCAGGAGTGGGAAAGGCTCCATCCCGCCCTGGGCCCGCCCTGAAGACGGGGCTGCGAGAGCCCAGGGCTGACGGCCCCTCGCAGAGGTGCCTCTTCTCCTGCCTTCAGCCCTGGCAAAGCAGAGACTCGGGGCTGGCTCTGACCCGTTTTCTTATTATGCAAGGATTTAGGCTCGAGGAAATAAGATGAGAGCAGGTGGTTTTAATGAAAATTGTTTTGGCATGATACAGCTCAAAAGCCCTAGTGCTAGCTCCCCTCTGCCCGTGGTTATTTTTATACTGGTATCTAAAACAGGCTCATTCGAGTCAATTAGCAAGCATAAGTCACAGCTGACTTTGGGAGGAATAACTTATCCACTCGAGACTCTTTAGATGTGTAACTAATAAGAAGTTGTCAGCTTACATTAATTTTCACACGTCTCAGCTACATCAGGGATCTAAAGGCAAAATCTCGTGTTCAGAAAAACGACATGGAGTTGAGGACTCCATGGGGACTTAATCAATACATACGTTCCATTGATCACAAATTGTTTTGCGTTGTGCCAGACTACTGATGAGCTTTTTCTCCTTGTATAACTTTTTCAGAATAATGTGTAGGAGAAAAGATAATAGAAAGGAAATTGCATCTGCAAAATACAAGAGGTAGTTGCAATATTTTGTGAAATGCTGCTCAGTGAACTGAAACATCTCTCACAAGATGAGTTCCCTGGCTGAAGGATGCACCCAAGGTACACAAACGCAGGTTACTTTCAGCCACAGGAACATGGATCCTACATGGATCTTACGAAAGGCTGCAGTCTGATCTCAGTTACACCTGTGTGAATTGAAATAAATAATTTGACGTTACTGATGTGAATGGGTTCTGATTTTGGCACCATATTTAGACTATATCCTGAGGAAATTGTTGCCCTTTTCTGCAACAGTGTCATATTTTCAAGAGAAATTCTTAAAAAGTAGCATTTTTAAAGTATTTTTTTTCTTTACAGAATGGACAGAAAATGAAAAAAAAAAAAACTGTCCAGAGCAAGAACTTCCAGCCATCTGCCTAATACCAGGAAGCAGCTCTTCCAGATCTCCGCTTTTTCATCTGGCTTAGAAATGCACTCAGCACGGGCACGCACTTCCAGGAGCCTGGCAGAAAATGCTGAGACGAGGTCCCACTCTTGACTTGGACGGACCATGAAGGAATGAGTTGAGGGTATCCACAGACTTTCAAAGCTGGTGGCCTAAGGCCAGCCCCCTGCACAACCTGCTCTGTGCCCTCCATCACCACAGGTCCTGGGCTTGTGACAGTCCTTAGTATTTGTAACTATAGCACCACTGTAAATCAGTACCTTAACAGTCTCTGTGTTTTATCAGGCATAGATAAATTTAACCTACTTTAAATCACACAGATAATTTCAAGATAAAGGCTAATCACAAGAGAAAGGCTCATTCCTTGCCTAAATTTTGATATGGGACAATAGAGGACCTTAAACCAAAACAGAGTCAACTTAATTGTCAGTCTGGTGCCCTCCAAAGTTCACTTCTTCATTTACCATCCTCCTGTATAGCTTTCCACAAAGGGACCTCCGAGTGTCGCAAATTCAAAGTGTTCTTAATGTAATGGATGGAAAACATCATGTTATATAAAAAGACATTTTTCAGCTGAAAGTTGATAACTGTACATCTATTTTTTATTCTCTCAAGTATGTAAAATAAGTTGTTTAGAGACCCAGTCTCATGCTTCGGATGACTAAATGTGCCCTGAATAGTTCAGTGTAATTGAACATAAATAATGTGGGAAGCCCAAAAATTCTCATTCAGGGCTCACACTCAGGGTAAAAGTTGAAGAAATAAATTACTAGAGTTGCAGACCTCCATCTCATTGTTGCTTTGCTCTCAAAAGGTTACTGACTGCTCTCTGGACCCTAATTCCGCTCTCACTCTAGTTTATGGTCATTTCATTCTACTGCATAGTTTCTTCTGATGCAACTGCATGAGGGAGAACAAGTAAGCTCTAAATCTCTTAGAGGCTGATACACATCTTGTACTGTTTAAAAGCTTCCGATTTAAAAAGAAATGTTGCAATTAGCTCATAAAAAGATCTCATTATTTTAATAATAAAAAGAGCCACAGACACTGAGGTTTCAGAAGCGTTCTATATCACAAGCTTGTTCAGATTCTAATTCTGTTTTTGTTAAATGATAACCAGTAAGACATACTTATGATAGGTCTGAGAGAAATGCTTGTATGTGCTACTTATTAAGGTGAGAAATTTTAGTATCTTGCATTTATTAAGGTGAGAAATTTTAGTATCTTGCATTGAGACTGTGATCATGGTGATAGGTCTCTCTTTCTGTGGTAGTTCTCTGTTACTCTGCACTGTATACAGAAGTATATGAGACAGTTGTTTGTCCTAAAGACATTGGACTCCCCCCAAAAAAAGATGAGGAAGAAAAAAGTGTAAGAAGATAACTGTAAATAACCATAGTGAGGCAGTTCTGCATTGCTCTCCCAACAGACTGACATCGCCTTTTAGTGGAAGTGCGATTGAAAGTGTGAAAGGAGTGCCTAACGTTTGGAGGTGAAGTATTTTAATACCTGAAAAAACACCTCTAGTTGAACTATATAGTAGATAGTCAAATGAGGTATATTATATACAGTGAAGGCAACTCCGTGGTCATACTGTCTTCGAGACCTTATTACAACCATATAAATTTAATGGAGGAAGAGAGGAGTACAGTGATCCATTTTTTGGGTGCACTGTATGGTGACAGGCCCACCTTTTGAGCAGGGAAATGAACTTTCATTTTCAGAAGTCTAGCCGAGATTGTACGTTTTCCTGCTGCTGAGTAATACTTGGTCATGCTAGCAATCACACCGACAGCTCTTCTCACTCATAGTAGGTTTCTATCACTACAAAGCAAACTTAAGACTTACTGGAGGTCCCAAGAGTATTTGAAAAGTTTCCCATCTCAAGGCTACTTAAAACTGCCTGCACTCACAGAAACTATGAGAAAGAATAAGGTTCATCTGGAACCATCAGCATCCACAGCTAAGGCAGTATCTTGGTCCAGTGATCTGGCAATCTTTGAAAAGCAAACCCAAATGAAACTTTGTTTGTGAAGCTGCCTTACAAGTAATAGCGTGGCACAAGATTTTCCCAACCTGCTAGTGTTCAGTGTGAGACTTGGCTTCAGCACAGAATTCCTCCTTTTTCTCTGAAAACAGCTGCCAGTTGCATTCTCTCCTATGACAGAATGACCACAGTTTGTCCACCCACCAAACTTTTTGTTAACCTGTGTATAACATCTATTTCAGAGATACTATGGGGATAGAGTAAGTTTCTGAATGTGTATGAACTTAAGGAGCAAAACCAAAACAAACCTCAAGGTTAAAAAGTTTTCTTAGTTTCTGCTAAATTTTCTGTGAAGAACAGCCACACACAAACCATTTCCTTTTCAGGTCATTTTTATTCAAAATAATTTTTATTTAATCCTAAAGAGTCTTTGGTAAACTGCGTCCAGGACGTGAAATGTGCAACATAGGTCACAGGACGAGGTTAAGGGGACCCAAACGAACATTGCCTACGTAAAACTGGAAACGACCTTGCAGCTCCTCTAGTCCAAACCCCCTGCAATGAAGAAAGATCAGGGAATCTACATCATTCCCAGAAGATGCTTGTCAACTTGTTTTTAAAAAATATTCTAGTAAAAAAAGATGCAGCAGCAGCAGTCAGTAGTCTATCCTGTTGTGTTACTGTCCAAGTGTTTGGAAAGCTGTCCCTATTATTCAACCTAGGCCAGTTAACTTGTCAGAGGGGAGCAGGGTCAATACGATTTGCTCTCGTCAGCTGTTTTTATCATCTTAGGAACCTCCAGGCACTTGTAAATTGGTTATATAACCACTTGCTCCAGAATCTTTCCAGGAACTGAAGTTATAGTGGATAATCCGTAATTCCTTGTTTGTTTTCTAAAAAGTAGGTACTGAATTTGCTTTTCTTGCATTATCTGGGACCTTTCCATTATCTGAGAGTTTTCAAAGATAATAGTGAATATTTCAGAGATTTTTTCCTACTCCTTTATGCATACAAGGTTTAATATCATTAGCCCCTGATGGCCTGAATTATGCTTAGCTTATCCAGATATTACTTTAATTTAATTTCTCCCTATTCTAGCTATACTCCTATTCTCACATTAAATTTAACGTGGTTAAGATTCTGATCAGAAATTTATCTTTTCAGTGAAGCCAGCGAAATCTATAGTGCTCTGTGCACTGCCTGCTGAGTAATGAACCTTTACTTTGCCCTTATTTTGCTCTTTATGTGTTTATTATCTCTTGTGTGTCTTTTGCTGCCTTAACGTTCCACAGTAATGTTACCACCTTAGCCTTTTTGACTTTATCCACACATTGTTTTGGGATTCCTTTTAAACTCAAGGCTAATTATGTTCTTTATTTCTACTTTTTGTATGACTCTCTTTGATTTTAGGTTCTTAAAAAGATCCTTGTGCAGCTGTAATGCACTTTGCTCTCTATTTTTTACCTTGTCTCCAGAGTTTATTTTTGTGCATTTGATGTAGCTCCTATCAGCAATTCCTACCTTTCTTGATCTGCTCTCTCCCTTAGATTATCTACTTGAGAGACTCTGCCTAACAGTTCCCCAAGTTTAGTGAAGCCTATTTTTAACTAGTCCATTATCTAGTTTTTTGCTACTCTTTTTCCCTTTCCTAAGATGTAAATATCTTTAACTCTTCACTAAGATTCTCTTCTAACCTACCCTATGTCCTTATGAATTTTAGAACATGTATGCATCGTCTTCAAACACAAGACAACAGCTTTTCACACTTTTTTTCTTGTGTGTCCTTCCTAAAGAAGTTACCATTTCTTCTTCCTCTTTCAGAGGTTGCAGTTAAGACTTCATACTGCTTATGTATGAAGACTTTTTTCTGTTTATGTCCATTCCCTTGGTATTGGGCATAGACATCTCAGATGTTTAAAGGCTGTTCTGCTATTTACTTTCACCTCTCCAGTTAAGAGTTTCCATTTCCCCCTCTTCCCTGTACTCCAGTCTTATTACTGAGTCATGCTTATTTTTACTTAATTCTAAGCTTTACTTATTGTCCCTTCCTCTCAAACTCAGTTTGAAACTCTTCCAGCCTTAGCAATGTCACTGATGTTTGTGATGTTTGGTTAGTGGGTAAGTACATTGGAAGGTCTTGCTGTTCACGTTCTTAAACTGGAAACAATGGTAGAAAATTGCAGCCGCTTTGTGCTTTGACTGCCAAAATTAACATTGCTCACAGACATGTATATTTATGTATATTGTTCATGCAAATATTACTGACAATCTCAGGGGATTTCTGAAACATTCCAGATACCCGACTTTGAAAGACAAGTACAATTTTAAGCTTTGGCCTAGATCGAGCATGTATTCCATATAGTTAGAGCTTACAGGAACAGTTCCAGACTATTCACCTTTGCGAGGACATCTTGGGGGTAAAAGACCTCTTTGGATCTTCCAGGTCCTCTTCGGACCTCTTGCTGGGTGCACACCTCAACCTCAGTCTAGCCATGCTCATGAGATACAGACAAGAGAAAATAAAGAAAAAGAGACTGCATAGGGGCAACGCAAGTCTGTTTTACATTCACGTGTTGTGAAAAAAAATACCAAGGCACAAAATAATGCTTCCAGATTTTGTTATGCACAGAAGGAAATACAGTTGGCAGAAAGCAGAGCCTGAACTTGAGTCTTGTCAGTGGATTATTGTCAGTAATATGCCACAGAGCACTTAGTGACAACTCTTTCTCAGCAATGAGGGGCTCAGAAAACATGCGGCCAAAATCAGCATTTTTGGCAGCCCAGAAATGTCAGCTGGCATTGAATCTTCAGAGATCAGCTAGGGTTCAATTTTGGCTACTACTGCACTGAGCCAGGTTCCATGGGTTGGCTTTACACGTCTGCTTTTGGAGAGTCATTTAGCAGGGGTGTTGCAGAAAAGTGCATGCAACTGCCAACAGTGTGGCCTTTGAGAGGAATCAGAAAGCCAAACTTAAATGTTCTGTTATGGGAACTAGTTTAAGTTCAATGACATTAGCCTCCCTGGTTTCCCTGTGTAGTCAATGGAGAAAGAAAGGTTTTTTGAAGCTCTGAACTGTCTTCTGGTGGAAATTTTTTCTCTTTAACTACAGAAGGAAGCTAAGCAGATGGCAGCAGGCTAAAGTTAGAACCGGGCAGTACTTGTGTGAAAATGTTATGGCCACAGCAAGGGGATTTTCTCTAATATCTTACATTTGAAGACACAGTTGCATATTGGTAACTGCCTCCCTGTGAAAGCTTTTTCTCCTTGAAGTACACTGCACACTTGCTGCATTGCAGAAATGTATTCAAGAAGCATCTAAAATGGGGAAAGATCGTAGTATAATATGAGCTACTATAATGCTTCCTGTCCCAAAAAATCAAAACATTCTTCAGCTGTTGATGCATCAAGCTCCACAACATTGTCTGGAGTCAGATATTAAACTAGGCATTACCAATATACCATTACACAGTATTTCTGGTTATAGATGGAGTCATAAATTCTGCCTTACAGTTTCCTGCACATACATACTTTGTCAAGTCTTGTACAACTCTGGTCAAACTCCTCCGATAGCATTGGGAAGGAGAAATGTTCCTTATAAGAAAGATAAAGCCTGTCCTACTTTGCTTTATATCAGAGCACTGGATCACCTGAAATTTGTGGCATCGATCAGTTCTGGTGACAGCTACAGTTGGTCCATCTGGGCACAGTTAACAGATGGAAGTATTGTGTTTCTGGTGATGTTTTTCCTCTG